GTAAAGGCCCCTGAGCTCCAGCCACAACCCTAAGCCCTGAACTCTAAACCTTGCGCCAAGACATACATCCAATGTATGTCCAGCGAGGGTTTCAGCACTCACACTCGGACAAGCCTTGGCGAGGTTCCCTGGTCCCACGACAGGCACATGTGGCCCAAGCCATCATACATTGACGACAGCAAACATTATCCGCGCTACGATCAACCTCAACCTGCATCCTGCAGCTATTCGCATCATCCTCAAACTGTGAACTCATCAACACAGAAATCACGGCATCCTCAGTCCAGTTGGCCCCACTGGCAAAATGCCATACATGCAGCAACACATGCACACAAATTCCCAATCCATTCATGCTCGTTGGACGCCCAAATGTCCAGACCGTTGCCACTTGCTGATGAGGGCTCGACAGCTTCATGCAGTTGCACATGCATTCAAATTCTCAAATTCCGTTCATGCGCGTTGTACGTCTAAGCGTCCAGACTGGTACGTTCCTCTGGTTGTAGGCTCGACAGCGATGCAAGGAAAAACGGCCCAGCATCGGCACTCCAGTCAGTAGACACCACAGGGCAGAGGCCCTTCACGCTGTATCGTATGCATCCAAATTCAATGCATCACCCAGATTGCTGCAGTCAGTTTGGTGTAAGCCGTGGTATGCAGAAAGCATAGCCCAAATTCCATGCATGCACAACGAAGGCTCTGTGCTTCCAGACTCGCGTTCAGTGGAGCATGTATTCGGCTGCCAGACATACATCAGTGCAGCATAACAGACTCCATCATCTCGGCCGGGCATCTCCCAAGAATACGTTTTGCGTCCGCGGTGTCAGCTATGGGACATACATCAGGGGCAGCATAACCAGAACAGCCCATCATTGGTCTCTCCGTGGGGAATCCAAGGAGACACACAATAATGAGTGGCATCAAAGCAGTCCCAGTGGTCAGAGCAGTCGTCTAGTCGTCGCGCCAGGGGCCGAAACAGCATTTAGAGCGTGGCATCGTCTGCCATCACAAGCCAGCCAGGACCCAGAGGTGCGAGCAGAAAACTGGCAGTTGTGAGCCATGGCAGAAGCGCCGCGGGCTAGGGCTACCTAGACCCCGAATAGGGAGGGTTGGAGGAGAACCCACAACACGAACGAGAACGCGGGAATGACGGGGCCGGAAAGACCCTCCAAACCCCTGCTTTGGCGTGGTTCCCGGCAGCACTGCCCTGTTTGTGCCCGTCCCCCGATCGCGGTGGTGATGCGGAGCATGAAGATCCTGTCAGGCTTCAGTGTGTTTGTAGGGCAACGGGAGTAGCAGTGGGCTCGCTTCTGGTTCGGCAACAATGCCACCAGCGAGGGTTTACGGTTTAAGGTTTGGCGGCTTAGACGCTAGGGATCAGGGTTTAGAGCTTTTTTGTTGAATGCATGTCAGACTGCAACCGAAGCTACTGTCCGAGAGCACCCTGAACCAAGGATACGGTTTAGGTTTTAGGGCTTTTAGATGAATTGATGGGCATGCCACATGCTTAACATGGCCTTGGCAAGGGTTCTGGGGAAGGGGCACTTGCATATAAGCAAGCAACCCTTCACCTAAAGCTTACATACGCTCGGAAGTTTATGATGGCTTATGAAATCGCGCGCCGATGTCAACATTCTACACATTTTGGATTTGGGCCATGGCTTCGTTGGTTTTTTGGGTCTGAGACTCGGGTTTACCAGTGATTGGGGCTTAGTCTGTCCCCCAGGCCTCCATGGTAAGGCCTCAGGAGCAGCGCCACCACCGCCCCCAAAAGCCGGGTGCAGCTCAGATGCCTTCGGGATCTTGCCCTAAGGATCCAAGTACCTAGTAGTCTTATACCAACCTACAAAACTGCTATCCTGCACCCAAGTTCCCGGTTGCTGGATCCTTTGGACGCTTACCTATAGTCTCCAATGTAGTTTGTTTTGGGTTACCTATATAGGACAGTAAATACAAAGCTAATCAAACCAACAACGGAATTGCAATAGACTACAGGTAGGGTTAGGCTCCTGTAAACCGTAAGCCCTAAACCGGCCAAAACCAACCCATGCAAACCGCGAACCTGGCTTTAAGCCTTCAAGAACAGTTTCAAAAGCCACTCGACGGAACGACGATCCCAAGCTTCCATGGTTCCGGGTGTCAGGCAAAGGGATCTTGCAGAGTAGGGAAGGAAGGTCAGGGCTTTGAGTTTAGGGGTCTAGGGTCTATACCCATAGGCTCCATAGTAGTTCCTTTCTGCGGCTCATATTGAGAATCCAATAAGGTAGTCCCAAAAAGGAACTACTGTTGAGCCTATGGGTACATGTGTATACAAGGTGCATGTGTACATACACACTGCAAAAAAATCACGAATAACGAATTGAACAAATGAATGATCGAATAAACCTAAACATAAATGTATACATTCATATTTGTACACATACATAACTACATACATACATGGTATACCCTATGTTCCATCCGAAGCCATAAACAGCAGGGCAAGACACGCCCTTCGCAACGAGGCTGGGAGGCAAGTCGGGGCTCGGATGATCCTCGCGGGGGAAAGAGCTTTGAGCGGTTTAGGGGATTTAGGGGGTTAATTTATTCAAGGGACCCTTTAAGGGGTACTATCAAGGTCATGCTATAGGGGATTTAGGGGTTCCTTTCAGACTTTAAGGGACCCTTTAAGGGGTACTATAATGAAGGCCATGCTGTAGGGAGTAGGGGATTTAGGGGTTTAATTTATTCAAGTGACCCTTTAAGGGGTACTATAAAGGTCACACTATAGGGAGTCGGTGGCATTGAATGATTAGAATGGGGCTCAGGGGTAAATTACACGTTATTGTAGCAATGACGGCTTTGGGGTTTTTGTGTGGCCAGAAGCTCCAGCGTCGCGTTTTGGGCCACTGCGCCTTCTGGAGATGGGGATACGGGATGATAGGGTCTTGTGCTTGTTGTGTTCTTTGCTGCAGTGCGGGCAAAGGGCAAGTATGTTTTCCTTAACCTCAACCAGCAAGTGCAAACGGATACTTTTCTCTATTCCTGCGTTCAGGGATAGAATTTCTGGGCGTTGGAAAAAAGTAGTCCGCGAAACACCCTTGCAAAACCCGACTCGTCCGAAAAGTATTCCGCGAATCACCCCAAAAATCCAGATGGATAGCCCGACTGGTCCGAAAAAGCATTCCTGCACGGGTTGGTACGGGTTGAGTACGGGTACAAGGTGAAAAATGAGTACACCTTTTTTTCACCATCATGTTGGGTTTGGCACGCTTTCTGTACGCGTACGCTTTCCGTACGGGTTCGGGTACGGTTGTCCTTTCACCAAACTTTTCACCATCTGGGGTTTGAGTACGGATTCGGTCTTGGCAAAAATATTCCCGCCCCATCCAAAAAAGTAGTCCGCACCACCGAATGCAACCTAACCTCCAAAAAGTAGCCCGCCCCAAAAAGTATTCCGCACCACCAGATAAAAAAACAACAACATGCATCAAAAAAGTAGCCCTGGAATCCGAACAATAAAACTTTTTGTAGGGATGAAAAAAGTAGCCCGACGCACTTGCTGGAAGGCTTTAACTCTACACCCTAAACGCCCTAACTTTAACCCCAAACCCTACGCCCTATAAACCCGATAGACCAAGGTTCGAAGGCAGCACCAGCAGGACTCGGTGCCGCTGCTTGCTTTGGTGTTGTCTTGGGATCCAGCCACGAAGGTAGCGCGCCCGCTCCACTCATCCGCGCCGAGGCTTCATGGAGACACTGATGGTGATGCAGGATGTAGTTTCGGATGGTACTCCTATGAACCAACGAATAAAGACATGTGCTCGTAATAAAATACATGTGCAAAGTAGTACTTGAATGGGCCGGGGGTTTCCTAAGTTGTTGGAGGTGTTGAACAAAATACTAATGGGCTAGTAACAAGCTAGCAAAGTCATAGTAACAACTTATAAGTCCTTACAATGTCAATAAGCCATTATATGTTCAGTAAACAATAAGACGAGTTATATAAAAGTTAACATAAAACCAACAAGCGATTTAAGAGCTTATACCATGTTAGAGGTGTTACTAACTAGTTATGTAAAAATTATGTAAGATCAGCAAAGGCAATTATTGATGTTATTAAATCAACTAATTGAAATTCTAACCGACTATTATTTCTGTTAATTCGAAAATCTGCAGGGCGACTGTTTCCGATTTTGGTTTACTTGTCTTGTGTTTCTTTGCTCCAGATTGTTGTGAAAGGAAAGAGTTTTCAAGCTAGAAACGTGATGGGAATGGTGTTGCTTGCATATATAATCGTTTCATGTGCACGTGTTTGGAAAAGCCTGTGTGGCTCAGAGAAATTTGCATGTTGGTGAAAGCCTGTGTGGCTATTTGGTTGAAAGCCTGTCTGGCTCTTGTAAATGTAAAAGCCTGTAAAGGCTTGAAAGCCTTTACAGGCTGCATGCAAGACAACCATGATGAGATGTATGCCTGTGAAGGCATGTGCATGTGGATGCTGTAATGTAGAATTTGATGGTTGTAAGTTTTTGCTCGAAGAAGCTTGTCATCTTGTATCTACCTTGTATACAGAGTCTGTTGCCATGGAGGCCGCTCTGTTGGCGAAGATTAACAGCATCAAAGAGTCCACCGGGCTGTCAATCAACACAAAGACCTCTCAGATCCTCGAAATGCTTCAGCATAGTGGGCACCTCTATACCCAAGTGATCAAGGCACCCTTGATGCTCGTCCACCCAGTGAACCGTTGCGGCATGTTAATCAATAGTTTCGATTCGCACGAGAAGGGATGGCGAGCCCTGTCGGTAGGTTTCGATGTTGCCCAGCTCGAGGGCAACAGCATCTGTACAGAGTTGTCTCACACCTTGAAAGCCGAGGCTTTCAAGGCAAACGAAGCCCTTGTGACCCAGGCAGAGGGGCGACTTGCCCCCTGCAGCGGGAAGGAGCGATTCTGTAGCCTTGGGTCGTCTCACATGAGCCAATTTGTAAAGGCATGCTTGGCAGGCGCCAAGACGGACCACGAGGACATGGCTCAGTTGAACAGTGGCTACTTGAGTGTCGATATCCTGGGCACCAAGTTCAAGGATCATGCTTTCCAGAAGGTTTGCAATGATGGCTGGACTTGGAAAGTCATCAGTGCAGCAGCAGCTGATGAAATTGGTGCTTGGTTCCCCACCATGGTGCAGGCAGCTGCGAACAGCAGCAACTTTGTGGCAAAGGTCGCAAATGAGATCGAGGTCGCGATGAGCTTGGCCTACCACTACGACCAGTGCAAGAGCATGGAGGTGGCCATTGAGACGACGAAGTGGTCAATGCCACTGCCCTATATCAAGGCGGTGGGGCACTACACCGCGAATTTTGCGGGGGGAGAAGGCTTCCCGCTTATTCGCTATATGTCCGACGTGAGTAAAGCCTTTAACTCCAGCTTGTTGATGGGTGCTGAATTTATGGACTCTTTGGCCTTTACTCAGATGAAGGACTCAACATGCACCTACCCGCTCTTGCGAACTGCCTTCTGGATTTCAAACATGCTGTCGACAAAACAGCAGGATGGAATCGCAAAGCAATTGGTCAAGAGCGATTTCGAGAAAATGAAGTCGCCGGCTAACAAGGACCTGGTGAAGTCCGCAGAGTCCCTCATGAAAATGTGCCTCGAGCTCCTTCAGAACCTTGGGTGGATGCACCAAAAGCGGGGGATCTCCATCTTTGCTCGGATGCAGATCAGGACGGCCCTGTTCCTGTGCAAAAAATCCGGGAAAGGACGGGAGTCCCATGTCTTCAAAAGCCTCCATGAAATTCAAGAAGCCTTTACCAAGGAAATCGACAATGCAAAGGCCCATGGAGAGTCCTTCCAGGGCCAAGCCCCAGGAAGTGAGGCCAGCAGCTCAGGAGCTGCCGGCAGCACCGATTTGAAGGTGATGTCCCTACAGGCCTGGAGTTTGAAAAAACCCCTAAGCACTAACCCCCTATATAACCGCAGAAAAAAACCTTAAATAAAAGCATCTGGCTCAAAACAGCCTACACAGGCTTACACAAAGCCTATAAAGGCTCGGAGCAAAAGCCTATATAGGCTTGATGCAAAATTCTTGCATTATGCTTGATGCCTTAAATCATGCTTTCATTGGTGTATAGGTTCTGTGTACATAGCATGCATGCATGTGCATATACCTAGGATACTTCGTCGCCCGCCAGCATCGCCATGCACCAGTACCCGTGGTTGAAAGCGAATGGAAAGTACTTGAAGAAGGATTGCAGTGACATCCACGTGTTCATGCACATGGACGACACGGACGGTGTGTTCACAGTGACAGATGTTTGGGGCAAGGGGGAGACGGTGAGGGTGCCACACAAAGACCTCAAGTTCATGAAAGCGACTAGCAAAGAGATCCCAATCATGTTGGATAGCAGCATCATCCACCGAATGCAAATCGCAGCGAACCTCACGGATGAAATTGAGAAGGCAAATGCTTTCCTCAAGTTGCACACATCCTTCCAGGAGCTCCTCGACATGTGATGTTGAACATGTTGTGTGTTGATGGCTGCTAGTAATGTAAGGATTCCTGCATTTCATTTAAGAAAGCTTAGGCACAAGCTCGATGATGATCTTGATTTCAGCACTGATTCGAAAGTCTTCGCGAAGAAAGGTTTCAAAAAGGGTCATCTCAAACTCCTCCCGTATGGCTCGATTGCGAAGTCCAGCTCCCCCGAGAAGGACAAGGCCAAGTGTTTGATTGAGACGGATTCCGGAGCATTCTTCGTCGTGCAGCCCCCCAAGGTTGACTTTGCCACAGGCATGTTGGTCCCCTTCTTTTGGGTCGGGTCGAGTCGGAGGCCACCATGGAGATGTGCAGAAGCAAGTTTCACAAGCTTTCGATGCCATTCATGAAGAACACGAATGCCTTGAAGCCGGGGCAGCAGCTCCTCCTGTATAAGCCCCCTGTACAGCAGGGGCAGAAGAGAGAGAGAGAGAGAGAGAGAGAGAGAGAGAGAGAGAGAGAGAGAGAGAGAGAGAGAGAGAGAGAGAGAGAGAGAGAGAGAGAGAGAGAGAGAGAGAGAGAGAGCTGATTGCACAGAAGCATGCACAAGCACGATCCAGTACAGACACGGGTGGGCATTTTGCAGTCGGCTAGCGCCCGGAAAAAAGCTAATCATGTTCTGTAGACGTGGGTTTGTGGTACATGAAGTAGTAAGAAAGCCTGTATGGGCTGGGTATGGATGTATGTGCATGATATTGAAGCCTGTAGTGGCTAAACCTTTGTTGTGTATGATACTCAGGCAAGCCTGTATCGGCTACACATTTGATGTGCATGCATGAGATGTAAGCCTGTACAGGCTAGTAAATGATAAGCATGCGGTTATGTGCATGTGTGTGTTTCTTTCAACCTTACATCCGTGTTGCATGCATGTTGCTACTGGCAGCAATCGTTGAGCCCGACAGTGCATGCAATGCATGATGTAAGATTTGCAAATGTGCATGCTACTTTGTTTGTGCACAGGTGTATGTATGAACTATAGAATACGAGATTCAACGAACCCTTCCACGATATGGCTGCCATGGAAATCCGTGAGAAGGTCGAGCTCCAGTTTAAAGAAGGGCCCAGAGTTATCATGCCAGATGACCTCATTGTCCGTGAAGATGAAGGTACATGGGTCAAATTGAGGCCGTCGCATTACTGTGTGGCCAAGCTCATTCTGGGACACATGGATGATTACAAATCCAAGCACCAACCCAGCCTTAGTGGTTGCAAGAAGTTCGCAGAATTGAACAAAAAGATTCACCAGAAGGCCATGGAGCACATGGTCGATGATGACAAAGCAGCCGATGATGTGTTTGGTGAAGAAGATCAGGGTGAACAACCAAAAAAGAAACAAAAAAAAATCCAGTTCCAGAAAGCACCGGCAACATTGCTCATCGACATTGGTGGCAAGGAGATTGAAGTGAAGACACCGTCGTCCTTGAAGGAATCCGACATCGTAGTCAAGCTCGATGCAGACATGCTCAGTGCTGTTTGTGAGTATGTGGCCGAAGATGAAAACATCGAGAGTTGCATGGGCAAAGACAAGCGGGCCTATGTTAAGAGTGGCTCATTCAAGAAGAAATGAACTTGTACATGCTGGGTGTACATGTGACAGCTGCGAGATTTCTTCCTCTGTGTGAGAAAAATCATTGCATGATGTATGCACTTCTCAAACCTTAAATAATGAACCCTACACCTCCACCCTAAACCGCATGCCCCTGGGATGTGTTGTTGTTCTGCTCATCTTAAATGAAGCATGTGCACTGTGCTTAAGAACACACAGAAGTTGCTCCACATACCCGAAGCCTTTCTAGGCGCTAATTTCCTTGCATCCCAATAACCTGAAAGCCTGTACAGGCTACATCCCAAAAACCTGAAAACATGTAGAGGCTACCATCCCAAAAACCTTTTAGCCTGCAGAGGCTAAAATCCCAAACACCTGAAAGCCTCTACAGGCTAGCATCACAAAAACCTGCAAGCCTCTACAGGCTACAATCCCCAAACCCTGAAAGCATCAACAGGCTACAATACCAAAACCCTGAAAGCCTATACAGGCTACAATACCAAAACTTGAAAGCCTTTACAGGCTACAATACCAAACAGTTGAAAGCCTCTACAGGCTTTTTGTAGAAACAATGAATGGCAAGTTGCTGCTGCAGGTTACTTGAATAGCCGAGCAAGGGCATGCTCATTTTGGTTACATGGGCAGACACGAGCAGCTCAAGATGGAGGGTGCTCCCGAGTGGGCCAAGGAATGGGCCCGTGAGCTGACTCAGGCGACTTTCTTCTTGATTCTTGATGTTCTTTTGAAACATGGGCTTGTGCACAGTGTATGCAACCTTTGATGCAGGAGTACGAAGATGGCTTGGCTGCCAATGAGCGGCCTGCCAAGATGCCGAGGACCGAGGCCCGGCATGCTGGAGTTCCTTAAGCCTGTGAAGGCTTGTTGCATGCCTTGACTGTTTGTGTTCATGTCTGCATGGGATGCATGCAGGTGACCCTGGAGCCTCTTCCTAGAGAAGGTCCTGGCGGTGCTGGTGTGCCTCTTCCTACAGAAGGTCCTGGCGGTACTGGTGTGCCTCTTCCTGAAGGTCCCGCCGGTGGGGTTCCTCTTCCTGAAGGTCCTGGCGATGGTGTGCCTCTTCCTGAAGGTCCTGGCGGTGATGTGCCTCTTCCTGAAGGTCCTGGCCGTGCACATGGTGTGGCTCTTCCTGAAGGTCCTGCAGTGCCTATGGCTGCAGCAACGGCAGCTGCTCCTGGAGTTCGGACTCCCATGGTGCCGGCAAGTGTGCCTTTGCATGTGATAGCACAGCAAGCACAGGACCGGGCCCTTGCATGCAACATGTTCTTGTGCAGTGGCGAGTGTTGTTGTCGAGCCAATGGAGGCTGAGGTGTTTTTGCGAAGCCTGTAAAGGCTCATGTGTTGCTCTCATGTACAAGCCTGTGGAGGCTATAGTAACTATAGTACTGAAGCATGTGGTGCTCCTGCATTCCTGGTTGGTGCAGGAGCTGCAGGAGCAGGAGAAGATGTTTGCCAAGGCCATGGTGGAGGCTCGGCCGAAGATGGCGGCGACAGCACCCAAGAAGGAGCCTCCGTTCAAGCAGCCGCCGGCTGCAAAAGCGCCGCCTGCCGAGGAGTCCGCCGATGCCGAGGCCGAGGCTTTGCTGGTGGAGCAAAAGCGGCTGGCTTTGCAAGCTCAGCTGCTGGCCGAGGCCGAGGAGCAGGAGGAGCTGGAGCGACTGCAGGAGGAGCTCTTCGCCAAGGAGGAGCAGGAGGCGGCTTCTTCTTCATCGGCAGGGATGGCACAGCCGGTGCAGGAGCCCAGTGAGGCCGCACAGCCGGTGGAGGAGGCCAAGACGGAGGTGAAGCAGGAGTACTACGAGCACTGGGTCAACGAGAACGGCTACAAATGCTGGATCGTCGGCGATGTCTGGTGGTTCGAAGACGACCACAGTCCTGGCCTTTACTGGAAGTGGAGTCCGGAAAGAGGCTGGCAGCGGTGGCGAGAACCAGATTCTCGGCAACAATGTTGGTGGTTTTGGTCAACCCAACACCAAGAAACCCAACCCAAACCGAAAAGCATGTCTAGGCTAACAAAGCAACCGAAAGCCTGTATAGGCTAACAAACCAAACCGAAACCGAACAGCCTGTATAGGCTTCTTGGTGGTGGTTGCACATGACACATTGGGTTAAGCTGGTTTCTAGTGGGTGGGACACATTGGGCTAGGCTGGTGTGTAGTGGGTGACCAAATGAATCTGAACCTGAGGTGGACGACTCGCAAAAGTCTCGCAAGGGCTGGCTGGCTCGAATGGTGGTGCTGCTTCATAAATATAAGAACAACGACTTCGCTGGCTTGGAGGCCGACATGAAGTGGTACCAAGAGCACCATGCTGTTATTCCTGCGATGAAGCACCTGGAGCACCTCGTCCAGAAGCATGGGAAGGATGTCGCCTATGGATATTACAGCTGAGTCTGTCGATGATGGGCGAAAAAATGAGGGGGGTGCTTGGTTTTCGAGCCTGTATAGGCTGTGTAGCAACCACGAAAACAAAGCAAAAGCCTGTAAAGGCTGTGTAGCATACGGGAAACAGAGTTTGCTTGGGTGTTGTGGTTTCGGTGCTCAGTGTAGGTGCAACAACAATAACAACAGCCCCCGACCACCCGCAGATGACACACAGCAAACACCACCACCACCACCACCATCACCACCACCACCACCACTACCACCGCCACCACCCCCACCACCACCACCACCACCACCACCACCGCCGCCACCACCGCCACCACCACCACCACCACCACCACCACCACCACCCCCACCCCCACCACCCCCACCACCACCACCACCACCATCACCACCACCATCACCACCACCACCACCACAAGCACCAGCAACAACAGCCCAAAGCACAGCATCCACCCGAAACCCAATAAAGCATATCCTTGTATGAGCCTATATAGGCTAAGTGACCAGCCTTTATAGGCTTCAAGTTTCAATCAAAAGCCTGTGCAGGCTTCTGTTGTTGAGACATGTTGACAAGCTCAGTTGATGTTGTGCTCAGGTTTTTGTTGATATCAACCACAATGCAAGGGGTGATTGGCATGAGTGGGCCAAATCCTTGAATTTAGGATTCTAAATTCAATTCCAGGCCTTCCCGGGTTTAAGTTTAGGATTGTAAACTCTGATTATTGCTTGAGTTTATAAGGCTAAACTCAAACGAGCCAGGGCTGGGTTTGAATTTATTCCATTAAACTGAGACGGTCCTTGAGTTTAGAATCCTAAATTCAGAGCCGCAGGCTTGGGATTTCAATTTAAAATTTTAAATTCAACCATTGAGCAGCCTATAAATGTCTGAATATAATTATCTACATGAAACTATTATTCTATTATGATTGAACTACATTTTGAATTCGCTGAATCATATAATCAAATGCAACATATCCTAAATAGGGTGTAAACCTTTTGTTGCAATGTCATCGACAGACGAAGCTGCAGCTGTGCCTTGCTATGTTGGAAATATCATTTTGGACGGAGCAGAGGATGCACAGGTTGTGGTGATGCAGGACGGCAACATAACCGAGTATGCTTTGTCCCAGGAACGATGGAGAGTTTTTTTTGGGCTGGCAACAGAAGTTTCTGCTTCCAGAGAAAGTGGGCTTCCTGCTGAAGACATGAGCAACACAACGGAAAAGGGCTTAGAACCCAATTAAGAATGCATCCCATTGGCTTCTGTGTGGCCTTCTCACAGGGACCCTTGGGTTGAAGTTGTGCATTGCTGCATGAAATTCATGCCAAGCAGACCAGAGCTGTCAGCTGGTCCATGCAGAAGCAAACAAAAGAGTTGCTGGATCAGCCTCTACAGGCTTCTTTGTGTTGCGGTGCCTGAGCCTTTAAAGGCTTTCACTTTGTGGTATGCATGCTATAACACATGTAGCAGGGCAGGCATCTTGGATCAGGAATCATGTCGCAGTGGACCGTGAAGGACATAGCCAATGAGCTGCAAAGCATGCAGCTGTTGCTAGTGGCACGGCCCAATGTGAAGGAGCTGAAAAGCTCCTTGTTGGCACAAGTCATGCACAAGCTTCAGCTCATGCCACAGTTGCAACCCACTCAGATTGTGGAGCTCTATGATCTCTTGAAAAGCAGCGGTCTTCCTAGCGACATGTACGACCAGTTGGTTCAGGTGGTGGATCAAAAGGTTGTTTCGAATGGGAACAATGGGTCAACCAGGGAAACTATTGTGCCCCAACATTGTGAAAACCTCCACATGTACTTCACCAACTCAGAATGGCAAAAGCTTGAGTCCGTGACTATGTGGGAAGGATGCAGTGTGGTTGCCAATCGTCTGAAACTCTTGGGTGTCCGGTCGCTCAAGGAAGGGACGAAAAAATCAGCTACTGCTTTGTTGGTATGGGTACACATCAAGAAGGGCCAGAGCCATCCGTGTGGAGATGTGGTTTACTCTTTGGCCGAACACCTAACTTCGTCTTTCCAGGTTTGCCCCACCTCAATGCCCAATGGTGCCCAGCATCTGCTACACTTCCCTGCTTCCCCTGGCGATCTTCCGCCCGATCACTTCCGAGCTTCTTACCCCGACGAGCAGCCGATCAGCAAGGATTGTCCTGGTTTGGCACAAGTCAGGTGTCATTCCACACCGGTTCGGTCTTCCAGCAACCAAGTCATGTTCAAGGCAGGCTGCAATTGTTGAAAGAATGCATGTAATGCTTGGTAACTTTAAGCCTGCATGTCATGCTTCGTTATAGAACTTGCATATCGATCTCATGCATGTGTATGCAACAGGGGCCGAAGAGGAGCAAGCGAGGTGCCCAGTCGAGTGGCACGATGGGTCAGGGCGAGCCCTCGGCATCGAGTGGCCAGATGGTTGCTCAGCAGATGACGGGTGGCAACGGTGGCCAGATGCAGATGGTTGGTAGCCCCCACATGATGGCTAACAACGGCATGCACACGAGTGGCCAGGTGATGGCTAATCAGCAGGTGATGAATGGCAGCGGTGGCCAGATGCAGATGGTTCCGGTTAATCAGCAGGTGATGAATGGCAACGGTGCCCAGATGCAGATGGTTCCGAGCTCCCACATGATTGCTGGCAACGGCATGCACACGAGTGGCCAGATGCAGATGGTTAATCCACACATGATGGGTGGCAACAGCATGCACATGGGTGGCCAGATGCAGATTGCCAATCAGCCGATGGGGATGGTTAATCAGCAAATGATGGGTGGCAACATGCAGTTCGGTCAGCATATGAACAGCTTCATTCAAAAGTCAACTGCTTTGTTGACACCTGCAGCACTCGAGGATGGTAAGGTGGACCCTACACCACAGAGCGAAGCTGCAGGGGACAATGAACAGGATGAAGCCGCAGATGGTGAGCCGAGTGCTGGTGAGCCCACACCATTGGAAGACTTCGAGAAGCAAGCCTTCGAGAAACTTCACAAGAAGAAAACGAAGCAACCTACAATGAAGCGACCCGCCGCCGCCAAGAAGAATCCCTCGGCTTCGAAGGTTACGACTTCAAATCCGAAGCTGAAACTCGGTTGCTTGCGATGCCGAGGAGCAGCCAATGGATGCGATCAGTGTCGCGACCCGAGCTTCTCGGGACTTCGTCTCAACAGGTCCGAATGGATCCAGTATGCTAAGAAGCACGGTTTGAAGTACAAGTGACGTTTCACACGTGTCACTGTGTTTGGAGAAGCCATGGGCAGCTTTAGCAAGCATGTCGCATGGCTGTGTTTTGGGTATGTTTTGGGAGGTGAGAACACCACCCAAAAGACTCGCGATCTCTAGGACGGTGGGTGGTTGACAACATTCTCGCAAACAGGATGCTGAAAAAAAACTTTCTATGCATTGATGCCTGTACAGGCAGTAAGCTATGTGACATTGCATCTTGTTTGTGTTTTGTGTGCATGTATGATTATGAAAGCTTGTACAAGCTCAGATTGTTTCACAGTGTGGCAAGTATGATGCTCAACAAAACCATGCTATGCCACATGGATTAATGGAGTTCGCCTGTGAAGGCTATGGAATATTCGGAACCTAGAGATTGCTTTGTGTGACTGCATGACTATGCCTGTGCAGGCTCATGGCGCTTTTTTACATATTGTCGCAAGGAGGATGCTAAAGTAAGCAAGAGCCATGTGTTCTATCACAACATGGATATACTGGAGCAGCTTTTCGATGCTATATTGGCATCGGTGCATAAAGCTTGCTTGTCATTTTGGTGAGTGTATGATTATGACAGCCTGTATTGGCTCACATGTCAGGGATTTGTGTAAGTACTATCGTTACACACACACATATATACTGTGTACATTCATTACATATGCATACACATATATACATTCACGAGAATACATACATATAGACATACATATGCAGGCCAAAGGTTCATACACACAAACTTAAAACACACAATATATACATGCATACATGCATACACAAAGGGGTCCAAAGGCGCACAAACCTACATGCATACACCCGAATGCATGCACAACCTAACAACCTGAAACATTGTGTCAAACTATCAACACCTCAGCCTGTATAGGCTTTCTTTGTAAGCCTGTACAGGCTGCATTGAACCTGTGTAGGCTTTTTTTGTAAGCCTGTACAGGCTCCATTGGACCTGTGTAGGCTTTCTTTGTAAGCCTGTACAGGCTGCATTGAACCTGTGTAGGCTTTCTTTTCAAGCCTGTACAGGCTGCATTGAACCTGTGTAGGCTTTCTTAGTAAGCCTGTACAGGCTGCATTGAACCCTAAACCCCTAAACCCTCTTGGTAAGCCTGTACAGGCTGCATTGAAACATGCAAACACACACTTAATGATGTCTCCTTAGCAGCTGTTCGGGTCAATCGTGTGGGTCGCAAGGTTTTCTTCATATCCAACAACGTGCTTATGCATGTTTTCCTGCATGATGCAAAGTAGCAACCGGAAACCATGCAATTCCAGAGCTCGTGTGAGAAACACCTGTGCATGGGACATAGTCATGTTTGGTTAGGTGTATACTTCTTTGCATGCCTGCTCCTGATGTATCCCTTTGCCGCATGTAAAGGGTAATCATGCTGCCCTCTGGCTGTCGGTGTGCATCATGTATGGTGCATCGTGCTTCTACTGCATGCAATGGATAAAGATGCAGCTGCATCAGGAAGGCCTGCGAAATTGCAGAAGCTGCATGATCTGAGAAGGGGTGTGCCTTATGTTTCGAAGTCGGCCTTGGAGGGTATCCTGAAAACCATTCAGGAGAAAGGCATCCCCGAGGTTGTTCACACAAAGGCAATGCTTGAAGCAACCAGAAAGGAGATATCATCTTGGAATGCCTACGGCAGCCTTCTTCAAACTTGCAAAGTCATCGATGTGCATGGTGCAGAAAAGGATCTCATGTTCGTGAACTTCCACAGCTTCCTGCACGGACTCTTCAAGCAAGGGGGTTCCTTTACAGATCTTTTGAAAAGCTGCCACAGTCGGAATCCATCGAGTGATGCCAACCCATATTCGTTGGTGGTATACAGCGACGAATGTTGGCCTGGAAATGCCCTCAGTGCAAAAAGCAATAAGAAATCCTGGGCACTTTATTGCTCTTTCAAAGAGTTCGGCGGAGCCGCTCTCGGGTGCGAAGATGCATGGATGTGCTTGATGTTCCAGAAGACAAACTTCATCGGCAAACTGGACGGCTCCATGAGCCAGGTCTTGAAGAGGATTCTTGTTTCTTGCATGCATTCAGCATTATGTTTGTAGCTTGCCTTGCAAACATAGCATCTAAATGCTTTTGAATGTCTTGACTTTGGATGCCTTCGTCCATGCAACCCAGGAACACGTGTTCTGCAACGATGTTGTGAATCCTCAACTCACTGGAGTACTGCTGCAATCTCCTGATCCTGAGGATCCACCATTGCGGCTGTATTACAGGTTCAAGATCTTGGTCCAGGACGGTGCCGCACAGAAGTTCTGCCTGGCCATAAAGGGGGACTCTGGCACAAAGTTTTGTGTCAAGTGTAAGAACTGTATCTGTATCAAGTCCAGACAATGCGACAATGATTCAGATGCAGAGGAGGACCTCTTTACTGCCAAGTATACAAAGAAGTCACAATTGCACCTGGCAAGTGATTCGGAAGTACTTGACAGCTGGCAGAGGATGGAACAACGATTTCTTTCCGAGACACCGAAGGTGTTTGCACAGTGGGAGCAGGCGACAGGGTTCTCGTTTTCTCGCGAAGCTTTGCTGGGTTCTACGAGGCTCAGACCTTTTTTGGGATCTCCCTAGTTTGTTTGACAGCAAGCGGGTGGATGCATGCAAGAAGAGTAGCAAACTGAAAATGCAAGCTTCTGAGCTGTTGTGCATCGGGCCCATCTTGTCCCACTTCGCATCAACTGCATGTGCTGGGGCCGCAGATCAAAGGCCTTGCAAGGCATTGGTTGCCATGGTTTTTTTCTTGGAGCTGTTGACATCTGTGGTTCATGGATGTGTGCGAGGAAAAGACTTGGACAAAGCAGCTGAGCGAGTCCTTCAGCTGGTCGTGGAAAACGACTGGGAAGCTTGGATGGTCAAGAAATTCCACTGGATGCTTCATTATGGAGACAGTTTGCAGCTGCACAATTGCCTCATTCCATGCTTTGCTATGGAACGAAAACACAAGCAGTTGACGAAAATTGGATTTCCTATAAAGAACATGAGAGCCTATGAACGGGCAGTGCTGGAAGAGGTCGTTTCCGATCAGCTCTTCAACTTGAAGCAACCGGGCCGTTTCGACATGTCGTGCAGGCTGCTTTCTCAAAGTTGCAAGGCCACTCGGGCCATGCAGGAACTTCTGGCCCAGCATGGTGTGACGATGGGCCAAGTCACCATCTGCAGAACCTTGAAGCTTGCTGGGGGCGGATCTGTTTCAACTGGTGATGTTGTGTTGCTGAAGATGCAGTCGGCCCTGGCTTGTGGCATTTTGCTGGCCAACTTTGACAACGGCCAGCCTCACAGCATTCTTAAGTTCTTGGATTTCCAGAAGACTTTGGCTGATGCTGCTGAGTGGAAGGAGGCACATGACAATCAAGCACATGTGGTTAGCAGCTTTGGAATACTGTGTGCTGTGACTTATTCCAAGTCCTCGGATGTGTATCGGACTTTGCTGCCGTACCATGCTCGCAACCTTCTGGCAAGAGGGTCCTGAAAAAAGAGCGATTGCTTAAAACCGAACACTTCTATTCTAAAATCTTGGTTATTACCAAAGGAAATTCACGAGGCCGATAGTACCTGCAGCCTTTGCAGGCTTGGCATGGAAGCTTTTCAGAACTCTAAACCAGCATAAACTTATCAACCAGAAATCAGAAGCCTCTATAGGCTCGTGTCGCAGTTAAAACCCTAAGCCCCTAAACCCTAAACCTTGAGCCTTTACAGGCTTCTGTTGCACAAAGCCTTTGCAGGCTGTCTACGAACTTAAAAAACCCTAAACCCCTAAACCCTAAACCTTAAAGCCTTTACAGGCTTCTGTTGCACAAAGCCTTTACAGGCTGTTTGCGACCTTTGGGTTCCAGGATTTTTGATGGGCGCAAAAAATTTTAGCTTTAAAGTTGTGTGAAAACAGTTTGGGTTTCGTGTCTCTGCGAGCCATGTAGCTGCAGGTACGAAAGATTATGCAGGCAGGCATACTTCCGGACTCATGTCATGCAACTTCGTTTCAACTACAACAGAACGGTTTCCGATGATGGAAATGCAGTTACACTCCAAGTTGAAAGCATGCTAAAAGACCCGATCGCCATGTGTGTCCAAGCATTTTATATGCTCAGTTTGGGTGAGCCACTTTCATCCTGTCACATGTGGCCTATCTCTAGCAGTCCATGTTGTTGATGTCGTGCCTCTGGTTTTCCTAACGAAGCAATGCCTTGTTCGTTTGACCCAATTCATGTTCCTGATAGATGCATGTCGAAGAGTTGGTGACACAATCCTCTTTTTGATGGTAAACACTTTCAGTGGGTTCATGATGGTGTCTTGTTTTGGTGTGCTTCCGAGCTTAAACATGATGTCGTTTTTCCACAATGCAAACGACACAGTGGCCTTTTTGAAACATATCGCCCTGCAGATATTGAAAATTAAAGTTTCTTAAAACAGCTGTTCAATGCATGTAAAAACACTTATAGGTTTTAGCTAAATGGGTTAGTAAATCATTGCCAAGCCGTTAACAAACATTTAACTAAGTGGTTATTAACTCGCTAATAACTACCGTTTGTAAGTGAGGTAATCGGTTATAACCTAGTTGGTTATGTGGATAAAAGGCATAAGTCGTTAGTAAGCCGCCATCCCATTCAAGTATATATATATATATACCATGACGCTCTGTCATGATGATGAGACGACAGAGACCTTCAGCCAGAAGCAGCCGCACCTGTGAAACTAACCGCATCATGGCATTTGTTGACTCGTAGGATGGAATGCTAGCACCCATTGTAAGCCCCAGTAACCCCGAACCTCGAGCCCCACACTCCGAGCACAAGCCACCTCAAGGAAGTCCGTAAGCCCGATCCTGGAGTCATGTGTCATCTTCCGGCTCGTTTTGAACATTCCTTCGGACGAGAACCTTGGAGTCAAACTGCACCCTGAGGTGCTGAACCCCAAAATGACATACCCTAAAAACGAAGCCCACCCTCTTTTCAACTGGCGGGGCTGGGCTCCTTCGACCTCTGTCAAAAGGGTTCTAGACTTTGGTAATTTCCAAGTGACGCAATTAAGAAGGCTTCTTTTCTTCGTCTAACAACTCCACCACAGAAGATACTCTTCAGCCCAGCACGGGGAATGAAGAAACATACCAATGGACAACCTAGTTTCAGGGCTGGGATTAGCCACAAGCTCACAAAACCCCGCTCTCTCTCTCTCTCTCTCTCTCTCTCTCTCTCTCTCTCTCTCTCTCTCTGTGGCATTCGAAGCACTTCACAAGACCCCTACATCCTCACATCCTAAACCCCTAACAATCTGTGCCTTTCGATCCTTCCGAGGTACTTGGCATGTCGCTTCGAACAGGGAGTCAAGGTATATAGGTCCCTGTCAAAATCCAAGCCCCTTTGTGGGTACCCTGAAGAATAGGTGCCGTACTATATTAGGAGGCCAAAAAAGTGACAATATTTTTTCAACCACCTATATCAGGGTTGTAAGTTCAGGCGGATGCGTGCCGGGCCGGATTAAGGTTTAGGTACTAAGCTTCAAGCTGCCACAGCCGAGGTGTTCGCGCTTTTTGACCGGCCTCCTGTGGGGGATCACCAGGAGTGCCCAAAGAGCCCCATACCCCTTCATCAAATATTTTACCTTAAACTATCAAAGCCTGAAATTCAGATTGGGATTTACGCTATGTTCCTTAATCGAGTGGTGTTGAGCTCTCTGAGTCGTGTCTCGCGAAGCCTGCCTTTGCAGGCGCTGAGAACGGAGAGCCTACATTCGCCGAGGTGTCCTGAAACTCCCTGAACCCGAGCCCCTATGTAAACCCTCCCTAGAGTAGTCAAGGTACCTTGAAAAAATACATGTACAAATTCTTTTTGGTCACATCCCCTTTATAAAAGTACATAGGTTACTCGAAGTAAACCCTAAAGCCGCAAACCCTAAGACCCTAACATAGGGGCCTCACTAATTAGAATAGGGCTTTGGCATTGGGGTATGTGATACTATAATCCCAATAAGGAACCCCCAAACTAGCATAGGTGATTTTTCAGGCCCCTAATATTATGAACCTGAAGTGGAAGGCTCTCCATAGGCTCTCATGGAGGGCTGGGGTCTAAAGTCTAAAGTCTGCTGGGCCACGCCTGGTCCATGAGTATCGGTTTAGGGTTTCGGGACTAGGGTTTTAGGGCTAAGGGTTTATCTAGGTTGCATCAACTTAAACGCTGAATGCAGTTAATTAGGTTTCTGCAGGGCTATCGCTGGTGACAGGCATGCCATTGCCATCTTGAATGTAAGGTGCCTAAGTGGCGCTAAACGAGGGAACCATAGTTACAGCAAACTTCTAGTTACTAGTTTTGTCTCTGTGTAAGACAGGTCTTACCTCCATTCTCATTGGGGGTGAAACTGCGGCACCCATGCGCACACCTTAATGTGGGGACCTTCACCTATCGTACGGGTGGCTAATGCGTAGTATCGGAGTAGGCCATCAACCTGGTGCGGCAGTCGGGCATTTATCCGCAAAAGTAGAATGCAAGTAGCCGTCGAAATCGGCTGATGACATTCCGAATTCGAATTTGCACAGCATCTCTACTACGGAACTACAAAGATAATCCGACCCAGGGTATTTAGAACTCCATCATTTGCAATCTCGTCCCCTTCACACATACATGTTTCTGTTCAGGCTTCTCGGCGCTCACACTCGGATGCTCTTCAGGCTTCTAGGGCTCAGGGTTTCAGCGCCCCGACCAGAACAACACCCATATTCTGTACTGACGCCTGGTGCTATGAAAGTCTACTTCCTCTCTGTTAGTGAGACCCCTACATAGTTGATTAACAGCTTCTCTTCAAGCACCTTCATAATCGGATCCCCAATAGTTACTCTTGGGAAGGAGGGGGCTTTGTTGATCAGGGGTGTATGTGACTAGTAGCGACCAGGAAGGCAGCATTAGTAGAGATGTAGGGTGCCCACATGAGGCCTCTGTAAACAAGCATCACACGGCAGTGCTATTTAAGAGAATCGTTTCTTGGGGGAACAAAAAGGGGCCAAATATCCTGCGTCATATAAGAAGATACAGACACACACACACACACACACACAAACACACACACACACACACACATATATATATATATATACATATATATATACATATATATACACATATACATGTATATACACACATATCTACACATGTATGTATCTATATGTATATGTATGTATATGTATATATATATATACATACATACATACATACACATACACACAGGCTTCGCTTCCTGAGGGTTACAAGTAACAGCCATCTCCCCTGTTGAGGACGGGCTGCAGCGCACTCCTTAAACCCGAAAACCGTGCCTTAAAGACCTCCTCGGCGACCCGTCACACGTGGCAGCCATACCTGCTCTCGAGAGGCTTTAGATTTGCTCGCGTGCGTGGAACAGTGTCTTGTGGTTGTACCTGAAACCCACAACATCGATAGTTCAGGTTCCTTACTATGAGCGCTCATATGTCCACTTAGGTATCAAGATCTGGTGGGCCGAGTGGTCGATCCTGCCGAACCCTGGGTGCAACCTGTTTCCAAAACGCAATCTGGAGGCCGAGTCGACCATGAAAAACAAATCACGATAGAGTTCCTGATTTCGTTTTTGGAGTCCGGGTTACAGATACAACCGGTCCCACAAGTTTACACAGCTTGGGCTTCAGGGCTTCAAGGCTGCACGTAGACCGCCACCCCCTGCAGTTCATGTACTTGAGGAGTCCCCACCACCCCTAAATGAATTATTCTTTGCTCTTGGTTGCTCCGGGAGTCCATGACCGAAGAATCCCAAGTACATCTCAGCTGGAGTGTGTACGTACTGGGATTTCTGTTGGGCCCATCGGACCAGGGGAAATGTACTTCGAACCCCCAGACATCGACGTAAGACCCCCCCTAGTACATTAGCTCAAGGAGGGGGTTCACCCCTTAGATCCATAACAAAAAACAAGATGTTTGATATTCTCTTGGTTTTTATATGAACATTAAAGTTAAAAACACTATCCTAAGGAGACTATAGGTTAGCAGGGGCTCCCACCCGGTAATAGTGGTATAATAAAAATATAATGGGGCCCTAAACTAATCCTTATAGTCACCATTACAGGGTGGGGGCAGCTTCTAAATTATAGGTGTAGGACAAGGACCTCCCTAAACTGTCGCAGCCTCGGCCTCTCGATTTATCGCAGGGCAGTGTAAACGACAAAACCCACGACTTCTTCAGGCCCCTACCCTTCTTACCAATATAGAGACCTCAATAATTACCTGTACTAGTTTGGGGTTCTTATTTTTTGTAATTTTTAGTATAATGGGCCCCAAAACCCTCTTCTAATTATCAAGGCTCCTATACTAGTCTACAACGTATCCTACTTCGCGAGCTACGGGCCGCCAGAAGGCGCGAAGGCCTAGAGTTTCTAAACACAGCAGTCGGCTTGCACATGACATGGGAGGTTTTTTCTTATGTTTTTGACGGCTTTTACTCCTTCACTCATTCACT